GCTTATTCTCATCTACTCTTAGTCCGTCTGATTGCGAGCTCTCTTTTCTGCGTTAAACCAATCCAAAATAGGCGGTCGGACTCGTTGTCAGGGCTCATGAGCCTTTCCGGCTGTAAGGTCACACATCTTTCAAACCGCAAGATCGGCGCAACCCTTGCGTACTCAAAGCAGTCTAGGTTTTATAAAAGGAGGCTCTCATACAGTTTATTAAGGACTGCGCTTGTATACCGGCCGGAAGTGGTGCAGTAGCAAGTTGCGTTGCTTACCACGTGCGCGGTCCGGGATCAAATCCTGGGTCGTGAGTCGCCCGGGCCAACCAAGCCTTCCATCCCTCCGGGGTCGGTTAATTGGTACCAGACTTGTCTGGGAGGATAAAAACACTGACTTGAACATCGGCTGGCCCCCGCAAGTCATTGTATAGGCCACATCGCATTCAAATGCCACTGCGAATGTACAAATGGAAGTAGAATGCGTGCCGCATCCACAAAGGATTGAGCAGCGCCGATTGCGTTATGATTTGTAATATCTTGTAACCCGTGAGTAAACTTGGTGATAATTCTTATTGTAGTAGTATTTTGCTTTTGTCAAGATTTCAAGGTCGCTCTTTCAGTCCGGGTGTCATCGTCACGGAAGTGCATAAGCGATCTGGTATGAGTGACAGCGCTTATGAAGGGGTAATCCTTTTCTGACTTTCTTCTCTTCTTTTCCCCACGAATTTCCGTAACTACTCTGCTTTTTTTCAGTTCCTCGAAAGAAGTAAAACTACTCATGCTCTTGGACGTGTAGGAGAACCATCTGAAGTAGCTGAAGCTGTGTTGTTCCTCGCTTCGGAGAAGAGTTCATTCACTACTGGCCAGCTGTTGAAGGTGGATGGCGGCAGAGGAATTATGCATCCTCGTTGATTTCCCTTATATTTTACAGGGGTAGGGGACCTTAAAATGTAGACCTTTACTAACATTCTATTCACTAATATACTATCACACTATTCTATCGCGATTCATTCCTTGGGCTACATTGTAGTATTGCACTTTTATATTCCATCCATATTCCATTTTTCGGAAATTTTGAGAAAGTTCATCGACCCGCAGTACATTTTCTGGGCAAGACCTGATGATGCAAGCCAGGGAGATCAATTATGACTATAAGCCAAACCAAGATAAATACACCTGCTCGCGATACCCCATTTCTGACATTGGTGAAGACCGTTCCTAGGATCATGCGACAGGAGAGGCTTTGACGATATAGGTGTCCTGTTGAACACGCATTTGGCCATAAACTGCTGTACTTGCGAAAATATAAAAAGCCGAATTGGACGTCCCCGATTGGGAAGAGTTGGTCCAGTTCTT